AGTTCTCCCTGCAAACAGGATCCAGCCTGGAAATACTGTCATCTTTCCCAGAAATTGTGCTCTTATCTCAGAGAAGAAGTCTGATGTAAATAATTTTTACATCAAAGGATTAAAGCTTCACGCCCCAAGGACCTCAACAGCTACAGGCCGGTGGCTCTAACATCCCACCTGATGAAGACCCTGGAGCGGTTGGTCCTGGCTCAGCTTCAGTGCCTAACAAGCTCATCACTGGACCCACTTCAGTTTGCCTACCAGCCTGGCATTGGAGCGGATGATGCCGTCATTCACCTCCTACATCGTTCCCTCGCTCACCTGGAGACCGCTGGAAGCACTGTGAGAATCATGTTCTTTGATTTCTCCAGTGCCTTCAACACCATTCTTCCCTCGGTCTGAAGGACAAGCTGGAGAACTCTGGAGTGGACCATCACCTCACTACCTGGATCCTGGACTACCTCACCGACCGACCACAGTATGTGAGGACTCAGGGCTGTGTGTCGGACAGGGTCGTCTGCAGTACGGGGGCCCACAGGGAACGGTTCTGGCTCCGTTCCTCTTCACCATCTACACTGGAGACTTCTCCCACAACTCCACCCAGTGCTTCCTGCAGAAGTTCTCTGATGACTCTGCAATAGTCGGCCTCATCCCTGATGGACAACGTCTCCCACCCCATGCAGCAGACTGTGACAGCACTGAGCAGCTCCTTCAGTGGGAGACTGCGGCACCCACGGTGTGGGATGGAGAGATTTCGCAGGTCTTTCCTCCCTACTGCTGTCAGACTCCACAATAAAGACTTTAACTGATCAAGCACACACATCCACACATATGCAATAATACTAAGTGCAATAATCCTTTCTGGCATCGTTGTATCGTTGTACAGCATTTGTATTCTATTTTTATCTTATTGTATATTTTATTCTATTTATTCTACTGTATATAGTATTTTATTTTATTCTATTCTGTACAGTTGTGTACAGTATTTATTCTTATGTATTCTAATTTTGCTATATAACTTTTGCACTGCCCACTTCCTGCTGTGACAAAACAAATTTCCCACATGTGGGACTAATAAAGGTTATCTTATCTTATCTTATCTTAACTGCAGTCAACAGTGATGTTCTGCACAGATCACTTTTCCATTTTGCTCTCTAGAGTCCCAGCTGCCTGACCTTGTGTCCAGGTGATCGTCTCACTGAGGAGCTTTTGTTCTGAAAATCCCACCTCCATGACCTGTTTCCTTTTTACTGTCTCTGCTCTTTCTTTATTAACAATGCTCATAATATCACACAATTATATTCATCACCTGCATGTTTTTATCCAGCTGCTGTTAGAACCAAACAAATAAAAAGGATGAAAAGCCTAAAATCCTTTGATTTATTACATTTGAAACAAATATGAGAGCATCCCTAACAGCACAGCTGAGACCTTTGTTTTAATCAAGCCTTTGTATCGACACACTTGTAAAGATACAAAACATAATAGAATAAATCAATATAAAATACAAGATGACCAAAAAAATGCAGCCATGTTGTGAGTTTGCATCTAAAAACATGCATGTTTCCCTTTGTACAGGCAGATTTACAGCAGACAAAGCAACACGCTGATCGACTTTGACCGCTGCAAAAACAAAACACCCACCAAGTCTGAAGTCGATCAGAGGAACTGTTGACAGACTGACAGACAAACATACAGTGGGGCAAAAAAGTATTTAGTCAGCCACCGATTGTGCAAGTTCCCCCACCTAAAATGATGATAGAGGTCAGTAATTTGCACCAGAGGTACACTTCAACTGTGAGAGACAGAATGTGAAAAAAAATCCATGAATCCACATGGTAGGATTTGTAAAGAATTTATTGGTAAATCAGGGTGGAAAATAAGTATTTGGTCAATAACAAAAATACAACTCAATACTTTGTAACATAACCTTTGTTGGCAATAACAGAGGTCAAACGTTTACTATAGGTCTTTACCAGGTTTGCACACACAGTAGATGGTATTTTGGCCCATTCCTCCATGCAGATCTTCTCGAGAGCAGTGATGTTTTGGGGCTGTCGCCGAGCAACACGGACTTTCAACTCCCGCCACAGATTTTCTATGGGGTTGAGGTCTGGAGACTGGCTAGGCCACTCCAGGACTTTCAAATGCTTCTTACGGAGCCACTCCTTTGTTGCCTGGGCGGTGTGTTTTGGATCATTGTCATGTTGGAAGACCCAGCCTCGTTTCATCTTCAAAGTTCTCACTGATGGAAGGAGGTTTTGGCTCAAAATCTCACGATACATGGCCCCATTCATTCTGTCCTTAACACGGATCAGTCGTCCTGTCCCCTTGGCAGAAAAACAGCCCCATAGCATGATGTTTCCACCCCCATGCTTCACAGTAGGTATGGTGTTCTTGGGATGCAACTCAGTATTCTTCTTCCTCCAAACACGACGAGTTGAGTTTATACCAAAAAGTTCTACTTTGGTTTCATCTGACCACATGACATTCTCCCAATCCTCTGCTGTATCATCCATGTGCTCTCTGGCAAACTTCAGACGGGCCTGGACATGCACTGGCTTCAGCAGCGGAACACGTCTGGCACTGCGGGATTTGATTCCCTGCCGTTGTAGTGTGTTACTGATGGTGACCTTTGTTACTTTGGTCCCAGCTCTCTGCAGGTCATTCACCAGGTCCCCCCGTGTGGTTCTGGGATCTTTGCTCACCGTTCTCATGATCATTTTGACCCCACGGGATGAGATCTTGCGTGGAGCCCCAGATCGAGGGAGATTATCAGTGGTCTTGTATGTCTTCCATTTTCTGATGATTGCTCCCACAGTTGATTTTTTCACACCAAGCTGCTTGCCTATTGTAGATCCACTCTTCCCAGTCTGGTGCAGGTCTACGATACTTTTCCTGGTGTCCTTCGAAAGCTCTTTGGTCTTGGCCATGGCGGAGTTTGGAGTCTGACTGTTTGAGGCTGTGGACAGGTGTCTTTTATACAGATGATGAGTTCAAACAGGTGCCATTCATACAGGTAACGAGTGGGGGACAGAAAAGCTTCTTACAGAAGACGTTACAGGTCTGTGAGAGCCAGAGATTTTCCTTGTTTGAGGTGACCAAATACTTATTTTCCACCCTGATTTACCAATAAATTCTTTACAAATCCTACCATGTGGATTCATGGATTTTTTTTCCACATTCTGTCTCTCACAGTTGAAGTGTACCTCTGGTGCAAATTACTGACCTCTGTCATCATTTTAAGTGGGGGAACTTGCACAATCGGTGGCTGACTAAATACTTTTTTGCCCCACTGTACAGATGCTTGATTCATTAGTGCGATTAAATGTTCTTCTTTAGCAGCATCACTTCATGTGTTTGTGTTCCAGGAATAAAGGTCTGTTTAAACTGGACGTCTCCTCAGCATCACTCGTGCTGTCATGGTTTCAAAGCTGTGCAGAAAGAATCTGAGGGATGATACAGAGGTGACCAAAGTTACAAACATCCAGCTGTGCTGCAAATGTTTGCAGAGCTCCAAACTCTTTGGCTTTCTGCAGAGCAAGTATGGAAGAAGCACCTGAGCTAACTTCAGTTTAGACGATATGAGGAAAAATGCTGCTTCCCAAAGTTTCCTACAAGTATCCAGTTTATATTTAGAGAAGCGAAGGCTCTTTATCCTGACAACTACTCCCTGGTGGATCCCTGTCCTGTGACAGCAGCAAAGACTGTGTATCAGTATCATCAAAGCCACTTCAATAACCAGTGTTTAAAGCTCTCTAGCAGATGGACTTCAGTGCCAGCAGCCTCTGTCTGCTGTGTACAGAAGTGTCACGGCTGCCGAGGCGAGCCGTGTGGAGTTAGAAGAAGGACCCAAGATGCAGGCAGTGGATGAGATGTCGGTGAGTTTATTTACACAGTGGTGAGAAGGCAAAACAGGCAAGAGGGAAGACAAAACTAAAGACCTGAACTGGGAAAGCTAAATGACAAACCTGAGATGAAACAAAAAGGGATGAGAAGCAGAGAGACGAGCAGGACATAGAGTAACACAGACGAACCGGCAACAGGCAGGAGAACACACAGGGCTTAAATACACACACCAGTAATCAGGGGAGGAGAGACAGGAGGGCAACACGGCTGGGAGAACTCAGAGCTGACGGGACAGGGGAAACGTAACCTGAACACACTCACATCAAACATGAACCTTCAGAATAAAACAGGAAACTAACAGACACAGAGAACCAGACAGGACACTGAACTTGACAGGCAGACTCATGAGCAGACACAATAACACCATGGACAGACAGAGGGAACACAGAGAAGTGGGAGCAGGCAGGCAAAGAACAGAAACCTAACAAATGGCAAAATCACAACAGAATACACACTCGGAATGAACAAAAGCACAAAGAACACAAACACTGAGTCCTCAGACGCAGGACTATGACAAGAAGGTTCTCTGATGAAGCACACAGCAGATGCTGCACTACAACAGCAGCAGCAGCTCAGCTTCAGTTTGCTTCGACGCCCTTTTTGACCTGTGAAACAGCAGAAAATGAAACATTTCAACACCCGTTTGTTAGCGTGAGCTATTCTGCTGTTTTTCATCATTTCACAGGTGAAATAAAAGTACATTTACTTCCTGTAGGAGTGATCGTGTCCAGCCTGGCTGAGACCATGTATTACTGATGAGGAAAGCCAACTTTGAGATTCCTAATCAGTGAGCTTTGGAAAAAACTGTGTTTAAATTTAGCTTTTCACTCTGAGGATGCTCCATCCTGCACAGATAATAAACCTCTGACATGAAGGGCTGTCAAGTAGTTTTAGACAAATGGGGTAAAAGAGATGTTAAAAGCTTACAGAGAAACTACATTTTCTGAGAACTGTCTGACGTTCACCTCTCACACAGTGGATACGATTCTGCCCCCGCAGGAATAATCTTTGTGGTTATGAAACTGTCCATGTGTTTGCAGAGAATGTCACATGTTCAAAGCCATCCCAGCACCTGGGGTTTGTATAAGTGCAGCTGTTGGTGGGGAGATAGTCTCACTCTTCTATATAAAGAGTCAGCAGGCAGCAGATCTTCATCTGTGATCTCCTCCATCATCACGTCTTCACTCTTCAGCAGCTATGGCTTCACTTCGCGCCCTTCTGGGAGTGGTGCTGTGCTCCCTCATGGTTTCTGCTTCTGAAATCCTGCCTCAGGCGGACTTTGATGTACAGGGGGTAAGAGTCATCCATAATATTTTTTATTTTACTGCCCATCTATTTTCATACAAATGTCTCCGTCTTATGGAAAAGGGGTGGAGCTTATCCAACGAGGACAGGCAGGGCCCCCCCAGACAGTTTAGCAGTCTATACAGGAGGCTGACCTTTGCAACATGTACTTCTATAATGACTTCACCATTTAAGTTATTTGGTTATGTTTCACCCTGGATTTTGCCTGATAATATTTATTTTGTCCATTGCTTAAAAACAACAACAACAAAAAAACTATATAAATATGAAACAAAGTGTGAACAACAAAACATCAGCTTTGGAAACTTTGATGTAAAATTCTGCAATTGTTTTCTCAGATATAGCATAAATCAAACTAACATACATCAGTGTATTATTAATGTGCACACACACACACACACACACACACACACACACACACACACACACACACACACACCACACACACACATGCACACACACACACACGCACACACATGCACACACACACATGCACACACATGCACACACGCACATGCACACACACACACACACGCACACACATGCACACACATGCACACACACACATGCACAAAGTGTTACAATAAGCAGCTCTTATGCTTCTGTATCATTCTCAGTGCTTTCCATTTGTGTGTCCAATCAATCAATCAATCAATCACTTTATTGTCACATCACATGTGCAGGCACACTGCACAGCACATGCGAGTGAAATTCTGTGTGCGAGCCACAAGCAACAGAGATGTGCAAACACAACAACAAACGAGCAAATACAAGAATGCCAACCTGAAACTAATAAATATATGTACAATATATAATAGTGTATGCATTTCTGGATGTGTATACTAAATATTTTCCTACGTGTGTGTGTGTGTGTGTGTGTGTGTGTTGTGTGTGTGTGTGTGTATACACATTTTACACAGTTGCAGGTAAGTGGTACTTGACTGGAGTTTGCTCTAATTTCAAATGGCTTGTCTGTCGCAAAGCCAACATGAAGTCCGGCACCGTCATGGTTGAGCCAACTGAAGATGGGGGTTTGAAGGTGGTGTCCTCACATCTTCTGTGAGTGCGAGTGGACAGACAAAGCAAACACCATTTGGACAGCATTAAAATATTTACACTGATGATTAATGTTGTGTCTTTGCACCCGTAGCGATTCATGTTGGAAAATAGAGACTTTAGCCACCAAGACTGACGTGCCTGGAAAATTCACATTCAGCATTCCCTGTGAGTACGCCCACAAAGACAGGAAACAGTTTAACCACCACGGTTAATCCCCCATCATCATCATCCAGTATTTTTCACATCTTTTCTTCTGCTGTTTCCCTTGTTGTCAGTCACGGGGTTTGTGACTGAAATGCGTGTGGTCGACGTGAAGCCTGACGAGTACGGCCTGAATCATTACATCAACACCGGACGGAATGAAACCTTTGTTGAAAGCAGATTATACGGTAACGTTGCATTTAGCTGTGTTCAGTAAACTGTGAAGTTACTGCAGCAGATTTACATCACGTGGCTTCACAGGACGTAGTCTGGACCTCAGCGCTGAGGTGAAGGAGAAGTTCAACCAGCTCTGCTTGCAGACCGGCATCCTTCCTGAAAATATTGTTCATCTTCCTAAAACCGGTACTTGTACATTGGTGCTGAAGTTCTACATAAAAACAGCCTGAAATATAAATTGATGTTACCTCACACTTTCCATGTTTCCTTCTACAGAGGAGTGTCCGCTTGAGTGTTTTGTCTGATCTGTTGTTGATCGTCTCACCGACACTGCATAAAGATCTGACACCATCTGTTATGGAAATGTGACTGAGCAACATCTGTAGCAGTTTTTAACAATAAAAATGCAAAAATCTAGAATGTTTTTCTTCATTATTCATCCTTTAAATGAAATAAACTGAAGCACATCCATAACAACACGATTCACACGAGTATTTCACGATTCTCCACAGCTGTGATCACCATTTTCTTTGTGTATTTGTAATAGTTTTAACAATTTCTAGTGTTGGACGGCTAAAAGATGAATAAATAATCATCAGATGGACCCATTATGAAAATAGTATTTGCTTCATCTGACAGAGTTACCCTCAGCTCAAATAACATTAAAATGCTGTTTGCAGTCTAAGTGCCTCGTTCAGTGAATTTCACACACAAAACATTCATACTTTCATACCTGAATGTGTCCATACAAGTGTAGGACTGTCTCAGAAATGATCATTTGACTGTTAGATGGTTTTCCCTCCATAAGCCTGGTTACGCTGGAGCTTTCTTCCTGTTAAAGGGAGTTTTTCCTTCCCACTCTTGCCAAAGTGCTCACAGGGGGTCATATGATAGTTGGAGTTTCTTCTGTTTCCTCGGTGTTGTTGTTCAGTCTTTACTTGTGTGACGTCATTAAGTGTGCAGGAGCTAGTAGCAGCTGGAGAGCATATGATGTGTGGGTCTGTAATCACCCTATGATATGCTCCAGTTATGCTTATTGCAAAGCCCCTCCTGGGGCAAACACATCCATACATACACAGCAGGTCAGTGGTGCTCCTGGGAAAATGAGGTAGGTTGGACAGGAGTAGGATGGCAGCCAAATGTGCCAGAAGGCCTGCAAGGAGTAGTAATTCAAAGGGTTTATTCTGTTTTTCATAACCCTGTCACTATCTTCTTAGGTCCATGGAACATACTGCCCAAAGCAGAGAGCCCGGGAGGCGTATTCTATCTGGTAATCAGGGTGGACATGTCAGGAACAGATTCGTTTGGGGTAATTAGGGTACACTTAGTTTACCCCAAAGCCTGAGTAACACTTAAAAACTCAATGACAAATCTAACTGATAAACTAATAATCTCAGCTCCAAGCACGATAGGGCAAGCGGAGAATGCCAATTCATTTATGCCAAAACAAGATAACTATACATGTTTCAGGTTTTCTACTGATAATGTAAAGTACCACGTGGGAGAAATCGACCCTACTTGGTGTGCCGTCACACCCACGGGAAGAACCACGAATAATGGGAACATGGGCAAGAAGTGGGTTGTATTATTATTGTGGGCAAAGCACCCTTTTGGTTCGTGTCCCAATGGGAAGCGTAGGGACATGTGCGATGGTGCGACTGGGAGCTCCGCTCATGCTGATTGGAAATCAGGTAAAGACTATTCAGCAACACAACACACGTACCTTAGCAGCCAGACATAAGAGACATGTTTTGGTAAAAAGAGGGACCCAGGGTATACATGCATATGACCCCCGGTTAAACTGTCCGACTAGGATAGACTCCATAGGAGTGCCCAGGGGAGTTCCAAACGAGTATAAGCTGGCAGACCCACTAGCTTCAGGGTTTGAAAGTATATTCCTTTGGATAACGCCTAATAAGAATGATGACCGCATTAACTACGTTCATTACAACTTGCTGAGACTGTCTAGCCTTACCAGGGACGCAATGGAACAACAATACTGCCCCAGATGGCTCAGTAACCCGAGCTCTGGAGGGCCGGAAAATTTGTCTAAAACCATGCATGAGCACTCAGGTATTGAAAACCCGCTGGCATCGTGGATGAGATCCATGTTTGGACAATGGAAAGGTGTGGCTATATCAGTGATGTGCTCATTGGCTGTATTTTTGGGAATATTGGTTATCGCTGGTTGTTGTATCATTCCTTGTGTCAGAGGATTGTTGGTAAAGATAGTGGCGAAGGTTACGAACCCTGGCTGGGTTGAGGGCATCTACCAGATGAACCTGGAACCCATAGAGTGGGGCAGGGAGTGATACAATAGGAAGTATGGTGACATTCCTGTTGGAATGTCAAAAGAGGGAATGTTGAGATTCAGAGATTCTTTTATTGATACCATATAATTTGCCTTATGAAGAATGTATTAATAACATGTTTTACAGTACATATAATCTAGGAATAGGCCTGAGCAGAGGCCCCAAGGTTTCCAGCTTCTTGTTGCAAACCTGTTGCATTTTATTCTACTTGGTAACAGATGAGCAGAGTCAATAATTAGCCTCAGAGACCCTGAGGGCTTAAGATTATTACCTTGTATGGAAGGTGTTATAGAAAAGAGAAGTTCTATGTCTGCTTATAGCTATTAAAAGATGTACAAGATGTACGATTAACTGTGACTAATGTCTGGAACATATTTTAATCTGTCATTGACGCCATGGGGGGGCGTGTACCCCACTGCTTTATAAGTATTCACAACATGTATTTTGGTCAGAAGACATATGTTGATGTTTTCTCCTGTGACAATAAAACTCATCGTTTGATTGCACTTTTCCAGAGCCTCCGTAGTTTGTTGTCTGGTCTAAAGTTGATCGATCTCGCAGCACTTACAATATAAAGCACCTTGAGGCGACTGCTGTTTTGATTTGGTGCTATATAAGTAACATTGAATTGAAATTATTTTTTCTTTTTTATTTATTTGCTAGTTTACATGAGCCAGCGTGTCTCAGGGAAACAATATTTAGACCTTTGTTATTTGAAGCCAAGCCTCACTTATTATTTAGTTATTATTCTCCCTCTCTTAACCACGCTCTCTTACAGTATCCTCACCATTTACCCATCTTACCACGAGGTAAGCATGAGTCTTTATCTGGACCAATAAGAGTGTGTGACAGTGTGCAGGTTACAGATGGTGAACACTGATTTTCACTCATTTGGATTCATTAACATGCATCAAGGAAAGAACAAAACAGGTTGGAGCACATTTTATAAATCTGACAATAATTTTCATGTTGCAGTTATTTCCCAAATTTCCCACATGTGGGACTAATAAAGGTTAAAGGTTATCTTATTTGCTGCAGCCCGATGTCCCCAGCAGGTCCCTAAGGTCCTCTGATCAGGGCTTACTTGCTATAAAACAGACTAAGGTGAGAACTAATGGTGACAGAGCTTTTGCCACTGTGGCCCCGACACTGTGGACTCTCTCCCTGAGATATTAAGAACTGTGGACTCGGTTGTTGTTTTTGAAAAAACAACTCAAAACTCACCTTTTTAAACTGTTTTTGGTTCAATTTCTGCCTGTTTTATATTGTCTGTTTTACCCTTTATTATTTGTTATCTCATGTGCAGCACTTTGTGATTCTGTCTAGAAAGGTGCTACATAAATACAAGTTATTTATTATTTATTTGTTTGTTGTTTTTGTTGCACACATTAAAACATGTCTTTGTACATAGGAGTAAATGATGCCCAAGGAGTCTTCTCATATCTGCCACAAGATTTTATGACTCCACTTACATTAGAAAAATAATGGAAGTGAGGAGAGGTAAGTAACGGGAAAAGGTAAGCGACCCATGTTGTAGGTGACGTCAGACACCGGAGATTTGGCGGAAAAAAAAGCGAATGGTAGCGTAGAATTTAACAGTTTCTTTAAACGTCAGTATTGCCAAATAAACTAACCAACTGTCATATGACTAACAACATCTGTGCTATCATCTCTAACACCCTGGAGGACAACGAGGAGAGTTTAGACGCTCTCCAAGAATACATCGACCGGTGCTTCGAAGATTTAGTAATGAAGAAGGCCCAGAGCGCGTCTTCCCCGGCCAAAGCTGAGACGCCGTCATCTAAAAGATATCGCCCGGCAGACTCCCCCGGAACAACATCGCCTGCCGGCAAAGATATCGTCGACATCCTGGAGTCAATCGATAAGCAATTGTCCAGTTTTGATGCGAGGCTGTCCCTGGTGGAGATCTTACACCGGGAATTTAAATCTCTAAAAGAATCCCTGGAGTTCAGCCAGCAGCAGGTGGAAACACTTTCTGTGGAAAACACCACGCTACGGGACTCGGTCAAATCTCTGACCGAAAATGTGACCCAATTAAACATAGAAAATAAAAAAATAAAAGAGACCGTTATAGATTTACAAGCCCTTAGCATGAGAGATAATCTGGTGTTTTCTGGTATTCCAGAGTCTGCCGGAGAGGACCCGGAAACGACCGTGAGAAGCTTCATTAAAATCCACCTGAAGCTGCCGGAGGACACGGTGAAAAACATAGGGTTCGAAAGACTGCATCGCATCGGGGCTCCGAAGACAGGAAGCGGGAGACCACGTCCTATTGTAGCCAAATTCGGCCACTTCAAGCAAATTCAAATTCAAATTCAAATTTTTATTTGTCACGTACACAGTCATACACAGTACGATATGTAGTGAAATGCTTGGACAACTGCTCGTGACCTAAAGAAAACAAAAAAGGAAAAGGCTATGAATAAGATAGGAAATAAATATGAAAAATTAAAAAGGGTAAATTTAACTAGGAAGGAATAAAATATAAATTAAGGTTAAAAAATGAAATAACTGTACAACACACTGGGAAAGAATAAGATAAAATATATAAATTAAATTGAAAATAAAATAACTGTACAACAAAATACACAATATAGAACTATATAAGAATGTCTGAACAAAATACACAAGAAGTATAAATAAATATATACACAATAACAGCAGCGTGATTTAAGTAATGAAGTGAAAACAAAGTCCAGAAAGTCCAGTGTGTGTGTAAGAACTGTATGTGTGGGTCAGTACTGTGTGGTGGTGTGATTGAGAGACCGTATCGCCTGCGGGAAGAAGCTCCTCCTCAGTCTCTCTGTGTTGGTCTTCAGGGAGCGGAATCGCTTTCCTGACCTCAGCAGAGAGAACAGTCTGTTGTTGGGATGGCTGAGGTCCTTCACCATCTTCCTGGCCTTGGTCCAGCACCGCCTGCTGTAGATTGAGTGCAGGTCAGGGAGCTCGGAGCGGATGGTGCGCTCAGCTGACCGCACAACCCTCTGTAGAGCTCGTCTGTCCTGCATGGTGCTGTTCCCGAACCAGGTTAAGATGTTTCCCGCCAGGATGCTCTCTATGGTGCACGAGTAAAAGTTCCTGAGCACC